GAGGTGGGGGAGCGCGCCCGGAGCCGGGGACCCCGACGCACAGGGCACCAGGGACCGGGCAGGGCTGCGGGGAACGTTTCGTCTCTCCAAGCACGTTCTGACCGGGGCGTTGCGCTCCCGGCCAACCCACCTCCACCGAGCTCGGCGTTGTGGCCCCGTCACTTCGGCCCAAGTCCCAGCCCAAGTTTGCCCCTGAGCCTGGCCGGCCTCCTCACCGGGGCTCACCCGGGTCCAAAGGCCTTGATCAGGATGTGGACACTTCCGAAGGCCCTCTCGGGAGCTCTCGAGACGTTGCTGGAATCCTCCCCTTCTGCCGTCTGGCTTTGCTAACATTGTGTGACTGAGTCACGGCCCTCCCCCTTCCCCATATTTATCTTCACGCGGTGGCAATGCCTGCTGACCTCCTTCACCAGGGCGAAAAGACAGATGACCACAGAAACACTTCCAAATGCAAAATCCTTTGGTGGAGGCTGCGGGCAAAAGGCTCTGTTTCGGTCTAGGCTGCTTAGTCGGATAGGCGCTCAGGATGTAGTACATTATTTCGGACCACTAAATATTTCTTCTGATGTGGGATGCACCAGGGGCACCGAAGAATGAATGGGCCTCTCAAGATCCAATTTACTATCACTAAATTGTGTTAGCATTCAGTGGTAGTAAATTGAGTGAGGGGGCAAATAAATGCTCTCTGGAGTTGAGAAAAACACCTATTCCTAACGAGTATTAGGGGAGAGCAAGTCTAGTCTATCAGATCTTTTAAAAGCAATGGAAGGGGGGGGGGGAGTGCTGTTTTGAGGCTAAATATTAGGTGGAGAATATATTTTGCAGTAGTATGTCAAGGAAAGTAATAATTCCATTTACTTGACTTGAAGAGTTATAGTTCAGGCAAAATGTCTAAATTTATAATAGAGAAAATCCCAAAGCTTATAGCTACGTTGATTACACTAAAAGCTAAAGAAATTGATCCTGTGGATTCCATTAAGATTTCCAGGTGCATTTCTCTACATTGGGTTAACACAGGGTTTCAGGTGCATGTGGAGGGCTCTGGCATTAGGCACACTTGGGTTCCCAGCTCCACTGTTCACCAGCTGTGCGACCTTGAGCTCATTACTGAACCTCTCTGTGCCTCATTCTCCTCATCTCCAAATAGGACTATTAGGATAACTACCTTATAGGATTGTTGGAAAGATGAAATAAGATAATATGGGAAGAACTTAGCACAGCACTTGACACAGTACTCAATAAATACCAAGGAACAGAAAACACCCTGTAATGTTTTCCCTATGCACACCTGGGTGATAGGAAAGTCCCACATTCCTATGTGGGATGAACATGGCCAGGGATGTTTTTGCTGAACTGAGGCCCAACCTGCTGAGGTTGTCCTCCCTCCACCACACAGACTACAGAGCACAGGTTGAACTCAGCCGGCCACCTTTGGGCACCGCGCGGCCCTCCTGCTGATCGGCACAGTACAGGTAAACACTCTCCTCTCCGCAGGCCTCACTGGGCCCTGCAGTGGTTCCCTGCCTGCTTCTGTCAGGGAAATAAGAAACAAGCCGAGGTGGACTCCTCAGTCCGAGAGGGAGCTTCACTTTGAAAGAAATGCTTTTCCTAGGCACAACAGGAAAGAGAATGAGGTTTCCTGAATAAATCCAGGGAAGTAAGTGCTCATACTCAAAAAATTGAGGATATGTCATCCTCATATGACATATGGCCATATACTGGGCTGACCTCAGATTCAGTAGCTTACATTGCTTAAAAAAAGAGGGTGGGGGGAAATGTAGAAGTCCGGGCTTGGATGGTTAATTCTCATCCTGGCCTAACCACTTTCAGAGCATCACACAGATCTCTGTCTCTGTCTCTCTCTGTCTCTGTCTCTCTCTGTCTCTGTGTGTGTGTGTGTGTGTGTATTCTGATGGAAGAGCTGAGATTTTGGAACGACATTAGCAAAAGAACCACATAGACTAGTGGAGACAACAAAGTTCACTTCAACCAGGGTCTAAGTAAATGAAACATCTAAATCTGTCCCCTGACCGCAGTCACTCGGTGGGACATTTTGGCACCCTCCCCAGTTGTGGTCAACTTGGACTTGGGCAAATTTCAGTAGAGCTGGGAGACATCTGAGGGATGGTTGCTGAATAGTTCTTGTCTCCCACTAGAAGCCTCCTAGAGTCAGTCTCTCAATTATGTTATACTGATTCTTTTACCCGGGAGACAAGTGCCTGTCCCTGCTCACCCCCACCCCTACCCCAGCCACACTGAGCATGCTCCCAAGGACACCTTGTGGAATGTGCCATAGCAACAGCAGAATAACTGGAGAGATGTACAGATAGGCAGCCCACCTGCCAAGACTCAACAGAGCTGGGCAACAGGGTTCATCATTAGGGAGCCCCTATTCCTCTTCCAGACTCACCCCATGTTTCCAACTCTGGGTGATTTCAGTGAAGTGCTCACCTTGTAGAAGGATTTCCTCCTTATCTTCAGATTAGAAGAAACAGGACAGATACTCCCACCTCCACCCTGCCATCATCTCAGTACTGTCCTCCACTCACATCCTTTCACTTTTTTCTCTGATAGAGAATGGGGGAAAAAACTCTGAAATAACAAGGAGAGAGGGGAGAGGGCAAGTTGTCAGAGACACGTGCATATTGGGGCTGGGAACCAAAGGAAACAATTCTGATGGTAATTCACATTAACACAAAATGACCCACAGTGTCATTTCAGGTTGTCTTCAGTGTCTTGGTTGCCACCTTCAGGACTACATTAGTCAGGTAGGTCTGCCATAACGAAGTACCCCAGACGTGGTGGCTTAAACAACAGAAATTTATTTTCTCACAATTCTGGAGGTTAGAAGTCTGAGACGGAGGTGTCTGCAGGATTGGTTTCTTCTGAGGGCTCTCTCCTTGGCTGTAGATAGCCGTCTCCATGTTCACATGGTCATCCCTCTGTGTCTGTCTGTGACCTAATCTCCTCTTCTTATAAGGACACCAGTCATACTGGATTAGGGCCTACCCATATGACCTCATTTACCTTACCTCTTTAGAGGCCTGTCTCTAAAACTAGTCATCTCCTAAGTTACTAGGGGTGAGGACTTCAACATATGAATTTGGGTGGGACACAATTCAGCAATAAAAGGATCAAACCAGGAGCCTAATCAGATATGATTTCCTATGTACAGATAGTTTTTAGGGAATATTTCATTCTCTCAGAGCAGGAAATGAAAGCTGTGGTGTTTTTCTTGCAACTTCCTGATAGATGGTCTAAATGTAGAGGATTTTGTAATGGGAAAGCCTCAGAAGAGAGATCCTTTTAATACTACAGTTGAGAGACATGACTAGCAACCACCACCCATGGAATACATGTCATAGGTTAGGAATCTGTGGGGCTGGCCCGTGGCTCACTTGGGAGAGTGCGGTGTTGATAACACCAAGGCCACAGGTTTGGATCCCTATATAGAGATGGCTGGTTGCTCACTTGGGAGAGCGTGGTGCAGACAACACCAAGTCAAGGATTAAGATCCCCTTACCGGTCATCTTTAAAAAATAAAAGAATTGTAACACAGCAAGGTTGCTGGCTCAAGGACAGACAGGTTACTGATTGATATGTAAAGATACTGGGAAATTGCTGTAAGAAGAGAATGCTTGCTAAGATCAAGCTTTTGTTGGTGGATCAACTGCTTGAAAATTGCATTATGGAATGTCACCTTGCTTGTCTTACTAAATGTTACCAGCTTCTATTGTTAAACTTGTTCAGCTATACTTAGCAAAAACCCCACCTATGTTCTCTTCCTGTAACTTCCTGATCTGGAGATTAAATGCGGGACGAGAACCCCAATTTGTGGTTAATTTCCCAAATGGAAGGAATGCCTCCCTCTTGAGGGTTCTGGGAGATTAACCCCTTTTCAGGGCTTCTCACTGCCTAGAAGAGATGGGCTTTGAGTAATCTTTGGTGGCTCTGTCACCCAGGGGAAAAGGGGTGACAAATTCGTGGGAGGCAAAGCAACAAATGGTGACCCCAATGTGACGAATTCTGGGTCCACGGATCAGAGACCAACCTGCCAAGTCTTGGAAAGGAAAGGAAAAGGATGTCCACCCCTCATCCTGACAAAAGGAAGGCCCCAACAAAAGGGAGGAAAAGAAAAAGGATGTCTGCCACTCATC